AGTGGCTTCATGTAATGTACATCATCTAGAATTGTAACAGCTGGGCTATCGCGAGCAGCGAACATGCGTTAATTAAATTTGCTCCTCTTCACCCATTCCCGATAATGGGAACCCGTGCAGCATCTTTCCTCCGTTGCTCTCTCTCGGACGGACTGCCTCGCAGATTAGACTTGACCCCGTCGCGCACTTACCCGCTGCTATCGCCTGCGTAACTAGCATTCTAACAGGCCAACTCGATCAGGTAAACTTAGTGCAGTGCTTACTTAAAGATAGAATACATAAGTAAACATGATACTAAGTAACAAGCATACATGATCGATTATTCGGCATGCTTTGCCGTCCGCAGATATCCGAAGTTAACCGAATTTAAACGAGATAGAAATCTGGAAAACGCAAGTGTACCTCGCACGACTGATAACACAGTAAACAGAATCAAACTTGCGTTTTTCTCTACTTCTGATATAACTTATATTATATGTCGCCGCACGTTTTTCGAATATTGGCACACAACCGCTTTCCATACCGACAGTACGTGTGCTGGTACGGTGTACTTGTACTCTGCACTAGTGTACGGTTCTTGTATATGGATATTTGCATGTAGATGTGGATGCTGCATTTTGCGATGTGCGCTGTATGTGTGTGCGAGCATATCTGCATATGCGCTGTGGTATAATAATACATACATACCATTATTTTATGTAGCGTACGTTATGGCAGAATATAAAAATAGGAATAGCGCGCATAAGCACATTAAACGTCGAATTGTTAATTTGTTATTATGACTAGTATTATTTTATTTTATTTCAATACAAATTAAAACATAGTATATTAAATTAATGTGAAAACGTTTATTTTGCCTATTTGTGTGATGATTTCCTGCATTTGAAACCTTCAAAGAGATGAAAGATCATCCAAATTTCAAGGATAGTTTCAATTACGCATTTTAACGTTTTCTCACCACAATTAAATTGCTGCCTCAATTTAATAACGTTTGAAATGAAAAATGAAAGTTTAATCTGCACCAAAACTTAGCAGAAAACATTTACTAATAATTAATAAATTATTGAATTTCGCTTCGTCTAATGTTCTTCGGGCTTTCGGTGCTTATTCAATGGCCATAGCCTTCGACAGCCAAGACAATTGTCCAATGCCTTGAGGAACACGATTACATAGCACTGGTTTACATGCCATCTCGCTGTTTACTTACAAGTAACAGTAGCCAACACACCGGTTTAATCACAGACTTAGAAACGTAAGATTAGCGCAGCTTAATCGTAATAAACAGGTATGGTAAAACACAGGCTTAATCACACGCTGAAACATAAGATAACGCAGTTTATTCACAAGTAACAAGTTAGGATAACATAGTTTATAATAGGATGACACGTAAGATAACGTCGTTTATTCATAAGTAACAAGTTAGGATAACAGAGTTTAATAATAGGATGACACGTAAGATAACGTCGTTTATTTATAAGTAACAAGTTAGGATAACATAGTTTATAATAGGATGACACGTAAGATAACGCAGTTTATTCACAAGTAACAAGTTAGGATAACAGAGTTTAATAATAAGTTATAACGTGAGGTAACGCAGTTTAATTGCAAGTGCGTAATCGCAAGTTGCAGACATTATCACTCGTACGGCGTGAGGTTTTGACATCATTGTGGATTACTGTCGTGCGACGAAATGTACCAGATATGGATTTGCCATCCAGGTGGCGCCTAAGGTTCCGTCCATCGACGGCTCAGTAACGCCATCTGGTAGCTTGATGTCGAAGTTCTGTAGAATGCTTGTGAAGAATATGAACAGCTCCACACGCGCGAGTGTCTCTCCTAGACAGACGCGACGACCTGTCGGCAAATAACAGACACCATCATCAAAGAGACTCATCAAAGGGAGGGATGGGATAGTATTGGCGTGACACCGAATTCTGAGGTTTAGGGATCGAGTTATTCCGCGATCTTAAAATGCATTCGCGGCCTTTTTCGAGAAATCGTTTCATAAACGATAATAACGATGAAGATAACAAATACGTAAAAAGATGTGATCACGATCGAATGGAATACAGCTGAAGCTTATGTCTGTGTAGGTTTAATAGTGCCACTTGGCAACATAAGTCTGACTATTTAATTTCCAGCTACTGCATTTCAATTAATAAGTGTAAGCACCTATGGGGGAAGTTAAAAATAATAATCTGCTTCCAGAAGAGGTGTCATTAGCATCGCCCAATCAGCATCTCCCAAACCAACAACAGAACAGGTGTCCCTAACGACGGCCACCGCTGCAGTCGTTTGACATATGACGTCACTCTTCTCTCCTCGACCCGGTGGCGCCAGCTAACGGCAGCGCTAGTAATTTTACCGATAGAGAACGGAATCAGCGCTTCGTTCTGCACAAAGTCTCCACGCTCGTCGAGGTGGCGCTCCGGGCGGAACTTCTCCGGTTCGGGGAAGTATTTCGGGTCGTTGAGGATGGCCGTGTGGTTAGTAAAGATATCCGTACCGGCGGGGATGACGTAGCCTCCTAGCTGTATCTCGGCGGTCGTGCTGTGAGGAAGATTCAGTGGCACGATGTCCGCTAGAAGCAATAAAGAAAAAAGTAGATGGCGTTCAGACAGAGTATCTAGACATTTAGTAACCGCCCTCGCCTCGTTATGCACTGGTTCGTACATCTAAGGCAATTTGTTTATCCAGGCGTCCACCGACAGTTTTCCAAAAATTTGAAAATGAGAAAAACAGATGATTACATTACCACGTAGCATGTGTCGTCATTTAAACACATTCAAAGTGAATATACGTCACGAACCGCCTGGAGAACGTTGCGGTGGAAGCTGAGGATGTGAGGCAATGTGCGTATACTTAAAGCTATTAACCTTCTCTCTTTCTCTCTGTCTCTATATCTTTCTACCCCCTTTCCCTTTGTCTGTCGCTCTCTCCCTCCCTCTCGCTGCCTCACTCTCTTTCTCTCCTCTCTCTCTCTCTCTCTCTCTCTCTCTTTCTCTCTCTCTCACTCGCTACCCCTCTTATGTTTTTACTTTACTCTCCTTGCGTACGTGTGATTTCTCGTGTATTTTTCATAAATCTATCGGTCACACTTAATCAGGCCTGCTCCCAAGTTTGGATTTTTTCATCGTTAATTATTCAAACGTACATAAACGTCACATTTTGGTGCCGTGACCAGTCCAAAACCTGGGAATTTCTTTGCGGACGTTACATCTGCGTATGTGTGTGTCTTCTATACATTTTTAATAAATTGATCTGTTACATCTAATCAAGCCTGCTGCCCATGAATGCCACCTACAGATGCATTCCACCTACTAACCACGCCACCTTTCTTTCTCACCTACTCTCTGCACTTCGGCTATTGTCGCCCGCGTGTACGGCATGTTGTCCTGGTCCGCCATGCATGGTAGCCTTCCTCCTCCGATGACGTCATCGATTTCGGCATGCACTCTCCGCAGGACGTGAGGGTATTTGAGCATGAAGAGCAGACCCCAGCGTAGCGTCGTCATTCTCTCTGTCTCTCCTTCTATATATATACACACACATATATGGTTATGTTGGCACCGCAGGCTTTGCTCAGCAGTTGTGTGTTAAACGTGATTGTCTCCATCGCATTCGGTGCTCGGTACGACTACGCCGACCCCGCCTTCCTCAGACTCAACGACCACATCAACACCATCTTCTACGATATCGACATAGGGGTACGAACCTTTAGTAATATAATACATAGATGCGTACCTTTGGTAACATACAGATATGTACTTCCTGTAACATACAAGTACGTATCGTCGATAACATACAGGTACGTAGGCCTACCGACGGTAACATACAGGTACGTACCGTCGGTAATATACAGGTATGTGCCGTCGTAACATACATGTACGTACCGTCGGTAACATACATGTACGTATACCGTCGGTAACACACAGGTTGGTTAGGGTTAGGGTTAGGGTTAGGGTTAGAGTTAGAGTTAGAGTTAGAGTTAGGGTTATGTTTAGTGTTAGGGTTAGGGTAACGGTTAGGGTCAATCCTCGCGTTCTCACTGGTCCTGGAAATTCCCGAACGATATGTTATGTTATCTCGTGAAAGATTGTTTCTTTACTCATCGTAAATTTGACGAATCGAACGTTTAAATTTCGTACCTGAAATATTGATAACAATCGCCAATAGTGTCATCAATTATCGATGATTTTACAATTATGATTGCTTGCTGTTTGTCAAGAATTGCAATCCACTAACACCCCGTGGAAATGGGCGCATATAAATCGTTGAAAAATTTCCTAAAAATTTCCTGAAAAATCGTAATTTCTTACTCGTACGACTCTCCCATTGTCCACGGTTCCCCTAGGTACCCCAAGAAAACGGAAAAAAAATTAGCGAAAAAAATATGCAATGTCAGTTGTAATGTGTATGTGTTGCGCATGCAGGGCATGCTTAACTTCTACCCTGCGCTGCGACACCTGCCGGTCTTCAGCCGCATGCAGAAGGAACTGGACGCGGCGTACGAGAGGTTGACTACGGAGCTGCTAGGTAACATAGCCGAGCACGAGGAGCAGGCGACGGAGGATGAGGCAGACGTGAGAGACTACTTGGGCGCCTACCTGCTAGCGCAGCGGCAGCGGGCGGGGACGGATTCAACATTCACGCGTGAGTCATGCGCGCTACGCACGCGGTGACACATACACACGCACACGCACACACACATTCACACACACACACACACACACACACACACACACACACACACACACACACACACACACACACACATGGCACTCACACACACGTACACAAACAACGTACACCAGAAAAAACACGTGCACACACACGCCACACACACGCACACACACGCATCAACACACACGCACACTCCCACACCGCACACACACCACGCACACACAACACCACACACACACTGCACACGCACCACGCACACGTGTACATCGCACCACGTCGCACACGACAGCAACGCACACGTACCACGCACACCGCACGCGACACGCACAGCGCAATTACACCGGCACACTCGCACCTCAAGCACACCACCACGTGCACATGCACACGTGCACACACACGCGAGCGCGCGCACACGCACACACACACACACACACACACACACGCACACACACTCACTTATGTCGGCGTCATCTCTCAGCTTTTCAGCTGCTCGTCTCCATACGCGATATGTTTCTCGCCGGATCGCACACCGTCATGACGACGCTACGCTGGGGTCTGCTCTTCATGCTCAAATACCCTCACGTCCTGCGAAAAGTGCAGGCCGAGATCGATGACGTCATCGGACGAGGGAGGCTACCCTGCACGGCGGACCAGGACAACATGCCGTACACGCGTGCAGCAATAGCCGAGGTGCAGAGAGTAGGTGAGAAGGTTCGCTGGCATGGACAGCAGGCCTGATTAGATGTAACAGATCAATTTATAAAAAATGTATAGAAGACACACACTTACGCAGATGTAACGTCCGCAAAGAAATTCCCAGATTTTGGACTGGTCACGGCACCAAAATGGAACGTTTATGTACGTTTGAATCATTAACGATGAAGAAATCCAAACTTGGGTAGTAAAGTGAATAACTTTAATATCTGCTCACGTATTTCCTTGCACACCGAGACAAAGAAACGAGCACACGCAAGTAAGCGCGTGCGCTTACTCCCGCGACCACAACCATACTCCTCGCACATTTTAGCCATAACCCTGCATTCTGGTACAACACATTTACACTGATGTGTCAAACTGCTAGATACAAAAGAACCGTCGCGTCACGCTCACTTTTAACATAATAGAGTCTCTGGCTACGTGAACAAACAGCTATTACACATAGAGGACAAAAGAAAAAGAGAGTGGATAGAGAGTAGGTAAGACCGCAAAGCTGGTGTGGTCTGTAAGTGGAAATGCTTCAGTACATGGCGTCCATAGACGGCAGTCCTGATTAGGTGTGACAGCAATATTGTTTAAATTTACTACTAAATGTCTAGATAATCTGAGAGAACGCCATCTGCGTGTTTCTTTCTTGTTCCTAGCGGACATCGTGCCGCTGAGTCTGGCACACAGCACGACCGCCGAGATACAGCTAGGAGGCTACGTCATCCCCGCCGGTACGGCGATCCTTGCTAACCTCACGGCCATCCTCAACGACCCGAAACACTTCCCCGAACCGGAAAAGTTCCGCCCGGAGCGCCACCTGGACGAGCGTGGAGCCTTTGTGCAGAACGAAGCGCTGATCCCGTTCTCCATCGGTGAGATTACTCGCGCGGCCGCTAGATGGCGCCACCAGGCCGAAGAGAAGAGACTGGCATAATCCGACGAAATACTACAGCGGTGGTCGTTGTTAGGGACGCCTGATCGATTATTGTTTTGGGGAATGCTGATCGAACGATGCCCAGAAATCCGCCAATTGTTTTTTCTTAGATTTTATACCATAATTAAAACTAAATTGGTGTTAAACACGACGTCGTACATTTCCGACGTCATCAATGTGTCATCAATGTGACGTCATCAATGTGTTTTTTGTGTGTTAAAGACTACTGCCGTGCCACTCCCCCTCTCAGATCCCTCCTTCATAAAATTCTTCAGAGATAGTATGTTTGAATATATTTTTTATATTTACTTTAGGCAATCGTCATCATCGTTATTATTAATGTTATTAATAATTTATTGTTATTTTTTTTTTTTTAGTATCTTTATTTGAAACAATTTCTTCAAAATAATGTAATGTCAAAAATGCATGCTGAGATAACCGAATAATGTGTCATGCAAAGACTACCCCATCCCTCCCACCATCCAAGCTTTAATGAACCTCCCTGGTGATGGTGTCTGTTATTTGCTGACAGGTCGTCGCGTCTGTCTAGGAGAGGCTCTCGCGAGAGCGGAGCTGTTCATATTCTTCACAAGCATTCTGCAGAACTTCGACATCAGGCTACCAGATGGCGTTACTGAGCCGTCGATGGACGGGCTCTTCAGTCTCGTGTGGAGCGCCAAACCTTATCTGTTGCATTGCGTCGCTCGACAATAATCTAACAATGATAAGCCAGCGCCAGCGACTGTAATATACGATAAGAGGCACTGGCCGAACGAGTGTTAACTTGTGATTCAAGGGAGAGTTTACTCTAGGTTCTAGGGTTATTTTCAGATAATTTAGGTTATAATTACGCTACATAAAAAGTTTCATGGTTCAATCACCATTAGAAATATTATTAAAAAATGTTTTGAAACTAACGACCACAGTTTGATTACAACGACGCGAAGCGTTGATTGTAGACTCAAAGCGCACGATCTGATAAGTTGCGCAAAACCGCTTTCCAGCCAAGGGCTACAGACCGAGGGTGTTTCTTATTTATTCATTTAAAAGCAAAAGGATTGTAATATCTTATAAACGACATATAGTTTCAGTTATAATATGGATAAATTTGCCCTAAAATGAATATCGTTCGGTTAAATAGCATTTAGGTATAAATATAATTGCACTTTTGTGATTAGCCCTCGGTCTGTAACCTGCAAAATAAATTGTCAAATACGCAACTTTTTCAGGGTGGCAGCACGGTCGTGGGTGTCAATGGCGTTGTTCAAATTTCGTAGCGTTGATGTGTAAATAATTATAACAATTAAGTTAGGTATCTGGTAACAAATACGTGTGGGTGTAGACGATTTGTTATACAGTAAGCACAGTTGTAGGCAGTAAAATCCTAGAGGCTACTGTCCCTTTTAACATTCTGGGATTATATTGCATTCTTTTTCGTGTTAACTTGAGATTAAAAATTATGTGAATGTATTGCATTCTTTACAGTGTTAACCTGTGATTAGAACATCTGTAATTAAATGTCGTTATCCTGATAGTGTTGCTTATGACAATGACCTGTGTTTAAACTCATTATTGTAATGAATGTAGCAGCTTTTTAATTTGTGTGCGAATATCTTAGAGGGCGTAATTCAATCATTTCGTAATTATAAATAAACTTTTCTATTTCTCTTCATGTTTATTGCGAATTAAAATGCCATCTTTTAATCCAAACTACTGCAGTTCTGGGTTTGCCCACTTGACTCAGTGATATCCGGGCACGATCATTTGAACATACAATTACAATGTCATATATGACGAGCATATTTCGAAATCGCTATCAATATTGATCCAGTTTTACCGACGCAAGGTACGGAAAGGAGAAATCCTAAATCGGATTTGATTTTATCACGGAAAATTTTTCATCTTGAGACAAATCCATAATTTCAGACCTTGAAAAAAGTCTGGTCGAAACGAAGCGTTTTTACGTGATATTTTTATTCTGCATTATGAATTATAAATGTATAAAAAGTTTCATTACATACGCGTTTGTTTACAAACTATTCGATCATCGTTCATTACATGTAATTATTGTAATTAAGGTAATTAAGTAATTAATTATCATGATTGCACTCATAATAGATTTTTAATGACCACGATGTGAATAAATCACTTTGCCACATTTTATCGTGCATCTGTCATTGGTACCCATTTTTGCTCTGTATTTATATATAAAAAAATGTAAAAAATACAAATAAAATTAAAAGAAATATATAATGCATGAAAGAGTTAATTACACGCGGGCTTCATTACGAAGGATTTGAAGTAATTATTGTACGGGAACAAGGCTTGTGCTCGTAAATAATAGGTTTTTACTTACCACGATCTAAAGATCTGTCTTTGCGGCATTTGTCGTGCATTCCTGCTCCGTACCAGCTTGCCGTTTATTCATACACACTAGTTTTGTATGTAAACAAGATCCATAATAGAAACTTTCTAGTATAGTAATAGAGGTTTAGTATAGTAGTCAGTAGTTAGAGTTTATAGTTAGAAGTTAGTATAGTAATATAATGTTTCTATTATGGAATCTGGGTGCCATGTAGGCCTATTGCTTTGTGATTCATACGCCGCGCACACACGCTCGCATGCTAAGCGCACGCACCCGTACGCACGCACACATACGCCCACCAATTCATTTGGTCGCGTTTGTAATGTACCGCTTCGTGCTAATGAATAAGGCTGAAAATGAAACTTCGCACAATATTTGCATAATTTAACAGCAACAAAATACCATAGAGGCATAAAAAATGCTTTTACGCAATTGAATAATAAAAAATGAATGAAAGCAGCCACGTGTCGTCACAAGAGGAAACTCAATCTGAACAGCTCTACGCAACAGCTTTGCCCTCATACCAGTACATGTATATTAGCATTTTGCCTATATAACTCCCTTGTAACCTAGAGACAGACAGGTTTAGAGTTATGTACATTAGTAGTACAGTATGATGATCACATCGTAACACATTATTGTAGCGATTACGTCACCGTAAATAGTAAAAAAAATATATATATATTTCCACTTTTTCACAAAATATAAGTAATTCTGTTCACTTTTTATGGTTAAATTGCTGCATTATACTTCTTATTTTACTATATTGTTCGATGTGAACATACACTCGTGACTCATACATAGCCCATAGCCAGCAATTAATGTCAGGAATATAATATTAAATCGTCCAAGTTTTTTGGATTTTTAACTAGTTGAGAAACAATCTTATCAGGTAAGAATTTAACGATACGTTTAGTCCCGTTAGTTTTTACTTTTAATGTAGCAATGGCAACAAAAAATTTACAAATTTTACCCTCGAAAATTCGTGACGTAGTCAATTTAAAGAGCCTCTAATGTCCTCTGCCTGGACAATACCGCGTGAACACCCGTCACGTGACCACGGTCACGGGTCACGTAGTATCACAAGGATACATATAAATACACATACATACAGGTAGCTCCAGCACAGACTCGCAGCACAATGTGAACTAAGTCGGTTGTGATTTACTTCACACAGCGGACGGCAATGTTGAACCAAGTTTTGCACACTAGAGTGACTATGCGGTCCACGCGTTGAAATATTAGCAAATTATTAATTTTTTTTATTCATTACGCAAAACTAGTAGCAAATTACATCACGAAAGTTACATATATCACAAGATCCATGCCTGCTTCCTTACATCTTGCCGTCTAACATGTTTCTACAATTCGTAGTAAGACACACCGATAACAGATCACGAATGTTTACTATATCACATCTTTATTTAACTAACACACACACGAAGTCATGTGCGAATGCATGCACATATACACACACGCGCACACACGTGCACAAACGGACGCACGCGCACGCACGCACACCTGCGTAAACGTACGCGCGCACCTGAACGTATGCAGACGTACGCACACACGTAAATCCCCCATGCGATTTGTTCACGTGTGTTATATGCTGATTTTTACCAACCAATGAGAATGAAACTTCGCATAGTATTTGCATAATTTACTAGCACAGAATGTTATATAGGCACCTTTTTTTTATTACGCAATTAGATAATAAAGAGCGAATGAAAATGCACCGTCTCTCGTCATTGTAACATGGAAACTACACACCGACATCACTAAGCAACAGCTTTAGTTGAGTTATTAAGTCAGGTGTGCATTATTAGTTTTACAACCAATCCACTCGAGCGAACAATATTCATCAGCGGGTGTTATTAGAGAACCAGTAACTCCCCTCGATCAACACTCTAGGCTACGTCACCAGCTACGACCCGCGCACATAAAGAACCTAACACATACATGCAGATAGCTCCAGCACAGACTCGCAGCACAAGCGCACGACTAACGCCAACACGCTCTACACAACTACCTGCAAAAATGTCGGTTGTGATTTACTTTGCTGTTGTTTTAGCAGCGATAGCATGGAACATGTATCTAGGTGAGTACGTTTGTAACGTCGCGTGTTTCACTGTGTAGGCTGATTGAGCATGAGGTTTCCGTTATCAGGTGAAATCTGAATTCACTCATGTAAGTAGGTAAACGGCGCGTAACTGTGTCGGTGTTAAACCCTGTTTAGACTGCAAAATTTGATCATACATAAAACTAGTGCTGGCCAGGCCCGGGTCAGATGCACGCTAAATCGCAGCTTACAGACACAAAATGGTCAACCAGGTTACGTTAATTAGCACGAGTAAGCTGCGCATGCTCAGTTTGATCGTGTTGCGTCACACAGCGAACGGCAATGTTGAATCAAGTAATCAAGTTTTGCACACTAGAGTGACTATGCGGTCCACGCGTTGAAATATTAGCAATAGCAACACATCTGTTTTTTCGTCATCTATATGCAGTATGATATCAAGTCTCCCTACGTTTTGCGTTTCGGCTTGATTCAGCTTCACTATGCAGTCCATGAAATCGCAAGTATAAGCCAATTGAGCGATTTTAGCAACAATGGATCTCTAAACATGCTGATTTCTATGTTGGCCCCTTCCAAATACTTCTGTGATAGATTCTTCTGACAAGTTTATAATCAGATTTTTACCTGTCGTTGTCCCAGTTACTTCTACTATTACCTGCTCATTTATTTATGACTACGTTTTTTTTACACTACATGAGTTATGAAGTACGTGAGTTGAAAGTGAAAAGAACAAGCATTGACAGGCAGAATTGGAGACACCGTATAATTTATTGACTTTACATATGACGCCTCACACAATGCTGCGCGCATATGTAAATCGAAAATGTCGGCCCGCGCCTGGCTGAGATTGCCGCCACCAACGAAAATGTTAGGAGTCGGATACTTAACCAGTAAGGGATTAACTTAAGCATGCTTTAAATGGTCGGGTCCACATCAAATCAGGCGGTGTGTGTGGGGGGGGGGGTAACTTAGTCGGAATAGGGCGTATTTGCCTGGAATATCATATACACGCTACAAGAATTCGACGCGGGCTGCTCCGGAAATATTTAAGATTAGCATGAAATTCGCAGTTTGTGCGGATTAAGTTTGTATTGCTACCTTAATGCATTCTCGTTTATTCTTGTTACTTATTTACTAAGCTTACTTAAAATTATTTGTTAGTGTGCTTGTAACTACAATTGACATATTCCTATATACTTTTCAATATATATATATATATATATATATATATGTATATATATATATATATAGCAACGCAATCATTCTTTTTTACTATTTATTTATTTATTTCTTATTTCATTCGCTATTTTCGTGTTTTTTAGGCGAGGCAACAAGATATCATTACATTGGATGCTTTGAGGACGAACCAACAGATAATGATTTCGACACGCGCACTAGAATGTCGGGCACCTTGACCCCGACCGTCTGCGCCGCTCACTGCACCGACCGTGGCTACATATTCATGGGTCTGGGAGGCGGAAGGAATTGTAAGTGCGGCATGGCATACGGAAAGCACGGAGAGCAGCCAGACACTGGTTGTAACGTGGCGTGTCCGGGGGACGGCACCTTCATGTGTGGAGCACTCGGCCTAAACTCGGTGTACAGAATTTATAAATGTAAGTAGAAATACGCCGTATTCTCTTGTTTGTTTCTAGGCGCAAGCAATCGTGCATAAGGGGAAACATTACATCATAGTATGATATATAGATCAGTCTCTGCCTATGGAGGCTGGCTGCCTCCGTAAATTGTCTGGAGTTAGCGTGATTATTAGATGTATAATAATATTTTCTTCTTCTTCTTCTTCTTCTTCTTCTTCTTCTTCTTCTTCTTCGTTTATCATTTTTAATATCCTTATAACAATGTGTTGGTATTGCTATTAATGTTTGCGTATGTTTGTACAAATTATGTTCACTCAAATGTTACCTATTTTTCAAGAGTTTTAATTTATCTATCACAGATTGGGGAAATCAGTCTTCCCACTTTGTAGGCAGCCAATTATTCTACCCAATGACACATCACGTAACATTCATTAGAGACGTAACACTCATGAAATTCTATTCTTGCTTCTTACACAACAGATGACAACTTCAACGAATTGCTATTCCACGACAGCCTTGTGTCCGCAGGGGACGAGCTAACACGCAATGTAACAACAAGCCCGGTAGGTGTCGCTTCGGTGTTACGGTGCGGAGTTCACTGCCTTGCGTCGCCATCTTGCTTTGGAGTCGTCTGGATTCCAGGAAGCGTTAAAAACTGCGTGCTTATCTCCGGTATAGGCAACCCAGGCGTCTACACGATTCCAACAGGAGGAAAATACTATCATAATTAGACTATAAACTTTATCGAGTGTGTATAAATTCGCAATATTTCACCTGATAATTGTGTGCGATGATAGATAATGTCACGTGACAGGATTGCACTTATTAACTCATTGATGTGATTCTTAATTACTTACAAGCATCTGTTGCCTTGATGTGTTATGTGTGTTCGTGTGTGTGTGTGTGTGTGTGTGTGTGTGTGTGTGTGTGTGTGTGTGTGTGTGTGTGTGTG